CTAGCGTGGCTCTGCGTACATGCTAGCGCTAGCTTTGACCTCAGCAGTATGGTCGGAAACAAACACGCACGATGCTGACACTCACATAAACGTGTGTTAGCGTTAGCTCGCTCGTAAAGCCTGGTCTTAGCTGTCACCTGGTTCAGCTTTCAGACAATATCATGCTCAGATCCTTAGGAGGATTTCGACCTTGAGTCACGTAACGTTACCTAAAAACCTTGACGAGGTACAATGGTTTAGAAAGGGTATCAGATGGTATTTTATCGACAGCATTCAGATATGTCATTAATATTTACCCCAAAGTACCATGGTATTTTCAAAAAAACTAACAAAATAAAGTATTGTCTTATGTTCAAACAAATCAGTGTTATTGTTAACTTAATAGTTTTCAGTAATTGAAATAAATCAGAAATAAAATATAAATATTCGATGACTTAAAAAAAACTAATAAAAATGACAAAAAAACACTAAAACTGAAATAAAAAAAATGTAAGCTATACAGAAATAGGAAAAAAATCTAAAATAAATAAAAATGCTGTACAGAAATATTTTTTTACAAAGCAAAAAGCACGTAACACAATGACTAAAACTTAATCTTAAAATTAAAGTGAAAATATAAAAATAAAAGCTAATTCAAAATATTAATTAAAACTATAATAGCATATAAATAATAGTAAAATAGCACAGAAAAATATAATATGATGCGTTTTTGTGTAATAATACTGTTATTTTGATATATACCATGTCACTGAACGATTAGCGTATTCAAATTGTATTTATTTGTGGTTTAACTATGATACAGCATCATATAGATGCACATGGAAATACATGGAAATTCTGTTTAATAATTGTGTTCATATGATATTTTAACGGTACAGTAAAGTACTTTCATGGTATGTTTTTTTCATGCTATATATGTATGCAAATTCCACTTTTTTTTCTTTTTTCTTGCAAGATGAACCTTTCATATCAGCAAAAAGTTGCTGAGACAGGTTGCATGGGTTTTTCTGTTGTGCAAACATGTACAGTCAGAGAGGACGGTAATGATGGGCCTCTGAGTCGATGCATCAGTGCACTTGGCCGCCGAGGCTTTTACTGCAGAGCACAGACGCTTGCTTGACTTAGAAAATCAATAAGATATGTGCGTCTTGTCTTTGAGCCAGACAAGGCCATCACTCCAGCTTACATATTAACATGAGAGCATCTCCAGCTGTCACCTGCCATCTTTACCGTGTTTACTTTACTGAAGATCTACATTTACTTCAGTACCATGCAGTATCAGAGTACCATAGTATTAGCTTCTGATACTAGCGGTGTGCACAAATAATCGAATATTCGATCTGTAATTATTATTCGAAAAATAAAAACACTATTCAAATTTTACTATGTGTTGCTTTGCTGGCTGTAAATGCAGGCAATCCATGATAAATCCTAAACACTCAAACTATAAGTCAGTTATAACTAAATGCAGTGGCTGGCGCTGTGGAGCGTGTTAATAAGCTGATTATATTTGATTACAGAATGTCGTCGTCTGCCGCGCAAAGTTTGGAATCACTTTGATCAAAATGATCTTACTAATGAGCTTACAAAATGGAGTTACTTTTGATCAAATGAATCAGTGAATCATAATATCATGATCTTGAGACATGTGCTTCCTTTAAGTTTCCTCGAGGGAGAGTGCGTTAAGAACAGAAAACACAAAGCGCTGCAAGAAACTCTGCTTAGCACACAGCTATCTTTGTGTCTCTGGAAAGACAGAGTCGGCGCTCGTTCTTATTGTTATCAGACTGAGGAGCCAACTTTCACCCGAGCATGTGGATATTATTGTTTTTCTCAAAATTAACATGTGAAACAGTACAAACAGGATAAACATAGGCCGACTCGAGTGCATGTACGTTCTGTACTGTAATTGTCTGCTTGATTTTTTCCGTTTGCTCTGCTTGAGCTTGAATGCTTTTGTTCTTTAGCCTAAATGTGTGTGTGTGTGTGTGTATGTATATATATATATATATATACGATTTTCAACCGGCTGGCGGTTAATCGTTACATCCCTAATATATATATATATATATACAGTATGTTTGTTTGCACACATTTTCAACCAAAAGAAAACCTTGAGATATAACATAACGTTGTTGTAAACATTGCTGTGCATAATGCCTAATCATAAGTTTGTTCAGAAATGGTGACAAAAATTAAATATTTGAATATTTGTTTTTTTATGAGTCCAAATATTCAAATACAGTATTTTTGAAAATGTCAATCCCCATCATTAAACCACACTATTGGTATGTCAGTGTGACATACATTGTTTTCTTCGTCCTTGCTTTCTGTGTCATCTTGATTGACGTTCTGCTCGAGTACTCACTCCGAACCCCAATCTCTCAGCTCTTCAGATGTAAAAAAGCCCGTCCCAGCGGCGCAGTGATATATAGGTCCACCACTAGCAGTTTCTGGGACACGGCTGTTACTCTCACGATGAAAATGCCCTGGAAACTCTGCGTTTGGTTGAGAAACACTCGTACCATGAGGTTTTAGCACTGCGTCGCTCCTGCACGGCTCACAGACTGTTATGTGGGAGGTACTTGAAGAAAAACATCTCACAGGAGCATAACCGCATGCTTGATTTTCTACAACCGAAGTCTTATGGTAGCAATTAGAAAGATAAACGCCACCCCTCGTTTTCACACCGAAAGGCTCTAGTTTTGCATGTGTGTTTTTGTGCATCATAACCTGCTGATCTTTTAGAGCGAATCATGCACACAGTATTCATACATCATTAATATTTAACCCAAAGTACCATGGTATTTTTTCCAAAAAACATGGTATTACCATCTTATCATGTCCAAACTAATCAATGTTGTTATTGTTAACTAAAACAAACATTATTATTACATTACAAACATTATTAAAAATAATTTAAATACATAAAAATGTAAATATTAGATGACTTAAATGTAAAAAACTTTAGATATTTTGCCTTGTCTAATGTTGAAGTACTAAAACTAAAGCTGAAATAAAAAGAAATTAAAGCTAAAAATATTTTTTTAAATCAAAAACTAATTTAAAAAAATGACAAAAACATACTAAAACTACTATTGAAATAAAGAAATATATATTTCCATTGGTCAATTTTATTTTATTTTATACTAAACTTTTGTCAATATTTATATTTGCTTTCATGATACACTCTCCTGGTCTTATTGTGAACCTTTTATCAGAGCATGCTATTCCAAAGTTAAATAAATAAATAATAAAAATTAGTCTTAATAATTGTAATCTTTACTGTAATTTTTAAAATGAGATAATTGTTTCCTCCTTTTTTGGTTAAAAATCTAATATATATATATGCACTGTACAAGTTATATATATATATATATATATATATATATGCATTAAACTAAAACTTATGCGAATGACAAAAGCACAATAAATAAATTCTATACAGAAATATTTTTTAAAAAGCAAAAGCATGCTTGATTTTGTTAAACCGAATTCTTACTGTAGCAGTTATAACGATCAACGTCGCGTGCAGGAACGCCGGGTGCATGGGTATTTTTGTGCATCGTAACCTGCTGGTCTTTTAGGGCGAGTCATGCACATGTGAAAGAAAGTATTGGCTGATGTGATCACGCTGAGATGCACTCATGCATTTGAGAACAGACTGCTGATTTCAATTAGGAGTGCAGTGCTGAATGCGGCGAAACAGGCAGGACAAACTCTTGGCGGGGAAACTAACGTTATTGTAGTTCTGCCAGTAGCCTGAGCGACCTGTCACGGCTATCAGTTATCTCACGGCTGAGGAACACCACATGATTGTGCTTGTCTGTGGATCAGGGTATGATGTTACGGGGGCAGTTCTGAGGTCGTTCAACAGGTGGCAGTAGGTACTTAAAACACGAAGATAAAGCAGACATGAGATTGTCTTCTTGATGGATGAATGAATATTGAAGCAGCTCTCTGAAGCTGGAGAGGGAGGATGGGTTGATGGGAAATAAGTGCCATCTCTTTGCAAAGGTCAGCAGTGCAGAGCGAACAATTAAAGACTCATTTAGACACTCTTTCCCAGATCACCAGTGTGTTTCTGAGTCACTGATAATGGGGAGAAAAACAGACTGCAAAATACAATTGTTTTCCCAATTATGTGCAGTGCTAAATCTCATATTTATTTTGTTTTATTTTATTTTTTTAAATAATTTTTTATTATGATTTTTGTTATTTTTATATTACTAAAGTCATCTTTATTGAATGCTTATATTTTTGTCCATGAGACAATTTGCTGGTCTTGTTGTGAACTTTATCAGAATAATAAAATAATAATAGTTAAATAATAATAATAATAATAAAAGAAAAATAATCATAATAGTTCAAAAATTAAGATGTGACAATTGTTGACTTTTTTTTTATCGTGGCTGAAAATGAGAATGTTACATTAGAATGATATAATTGTTGAAAATGAGAATGATATAATTGTTTTTATATATATAAGATATTTAGACGATAAAAGGAGGCAACAATTATCATATTTTAACCATAATTTTTGCATAATTTTTTATTCAGTGCACTTTTCTGTTGATGTCAGTGCATTGATTAAAATATATATATATATATATATATATACAGTGGGTACGGAAAGTATTCAGACCCCCTTCTAGATTCTGTGTTTTTCTGTCAATATGGGGTGCTGTGTGTACATTAATGAGGAAAAAAAATTAACTTAAATGATTTTAGCAAATGGCTGCAATATAACAAAGAGTGAAAAATTTAAGGGGGGCTGAATACTTTCCGAACCCACTGTATATATATATATATATATATATATATAATTCCAGCAGATTATCTCCCAAAATCAGTGCAGAAGATATTATCTAAAAATGAATAAAGATTCATTGTAGGTTTATGTTGGCATCTCCGTTATGTATCTAATAATTTCCTAGGTTCGTACATGAACTGCAATGCTCCCTAACCATAATGACCTTTGACCCCTCTGTCTCTTTCAGCAGGGCTTCAGTGGAAGCCGCCTCATGAGGAATTGTGAACGGTGAAAAGGCGAAAGGTCAGAGGTCAGGATGACGACAGTAGCCGCAGAATACGAGCACATGGACATCCAGCAGCAATACCAGGACAGTGTCAACAACCGCTGGGAAGACGAATGGGACAATGAGAACAGCTCGGCCCGATTATTCGAGCGCTCGCGCATCAAGGCTCTGGCAGGTGAGTCGAAATCACAAAGTCCATCTGTGATGATGTTAGTTGATATATCAGGTTTTAATAGACAAGCGTGACCTTCTTTTGGAGATTGAAAGCTGTAGTTATAAACAAAGAGAGGTAATTATTATCAGCAGAAGTGTTTTTGTTCCTTGCTGTCCTCAACTATTCAGCGTATTGGCTTTGAATAGCTGTAACTAGTGCTTGATAATGTGCCGCCCACTCGCACATGACATGCAGGGATTTAGTGTGTGGGAGAGCAGAAAGAAAGTGGGCGTAAGTTCACACTTTCTCTGCTCCTTCTGAAGCTCCCACACCATTTCTGATTGACAGCGAAGCCCTCGAGCCCACAGACCAACTCAGGAGGCTCTTGTGCCTCGTACAGGAAACTGAACACGTTACATAAAATCAATATGGAGATGGACGATCTTTTATTCATGAGTTGAATTTTTTTATGCATTTCCTATAGATGCTGATCTAGGAAGGGTTTCCTAAATGAACAACATACCTGTGATGAACTAAAAGCACCTTTTGTAGGGTGTTTGCAAGCTAGAGAAACTTCTGATGGCGCATTTGATGAAACATATTTCGCATATGATGCATTTTAAGGGTTTGTTTTTGAGGCATTTCAACTGGACCCAAATGACTGAAATTCTATTGTTTTATTTCATTTAATTTTATTTTTTGTACACTTCCCTGTTTTTATTGTGAACTTTTATCAGAGGATGTAATTCCAAAATAAAATAAAAAAAACAAAATAAATAAAGATTAAATAAATAAATAAATAAATAAATATAGTCTTAATAATCTTTCATTTGCTTTGTAATTTTTAAAATGTGATAATTGTTTCCTCTTTTCTGGTTAAAGTAAAATAAGATAAATAAATTAATTAATTAAAATTTTGGCTGGTGAAAGACTTTTTGAAAAGTCTCTTCTACTCACCAAGTTTCCATTTATTTGATCAAAAATACAGTAAAATTTGTAATATTGTGAAATATTATTAGTGTTTAAAATAACTGTTTTCTATGTTATTATATTGTAAAATGTAATTTATTTCTGTGATTAAAGCTGAATTTTCAGCATCATTACTCCAGTCTTCAGTGTCACATGATCTTCAGAAATCATTTTAATATGCTGATTTGCTGCTCAGCAAACATTGCTATTTTTGAGGAAACAAGATTCTTTGATTAATAGAAAGTTGAAAAGAAGAGCATTTATTTGAAATAGAAATCTTTTGTAACATTATGCGTCTTTACTCTCACTTTTGATCAATTTAATGTGTCCTTTCTTATTAAAAGTATTCATTTCTTTAATTTTGACTTCCTCAGGAGGGGTTCGGGCTTTAATTAGGACATTTAGACCACCACCACCTCTCCATAATTCTCACCGTGGGGTTTTGCTGTATTTCTATCTTCATATAATTTATTCCCGTAATATCTTGGATGACAGTAGCATATTTCCCTCTTCTGTTTTCCATCATGTTTCCAAGCATCATGCGTTTGAGTTGCTGTGTTTACAGAGGTGTGATGTTGTTTATGAGTGTTTGCTGCTGCCGAGAGCCTGACTGTTATTCTCTCGGGGTGGCAGAGTTTAAACAGACTGGCTTTAATGAACGACCAGGCCCGTCCGCTCTCTGCGAGACTCAACCCGATACTTCAGGACTGAGGACGATGGAACATAAAACAGAAATATAAAATCTTTTCCTCTCTCTCTTGTTGCCAAAAACCACAAACCGTTTCTGGAGTTGTAAAAAGCCCCCTGCATTCCAGTAATCATCCTTCGTTTCACGTGATTGTGTTTTCCTGCATTCCTGGGCAGCAGAGCATACGCCGCCTTCGCTCTCTCATGGAAGCAGGAATAATGCTCAAGAAAGAGACACAAAACAAGTGTATGGTGACGTGTGGATTATTCAAATAAAATTCTGTTCCTGTTTAATATGCAGAGATACTATAACTAAAATAGGCTGATTTCCTGAAGAGTGTAACACTTTGACTCTGTGTCGATTTCAAAACATTAATCTAATAGTTTGAACAAGTCTGACGCAGTCTGAATTAGCTCAGCCAATGGCATGAGTTTGGGGGCGGGACTATCTGCTTGTCCAGCCAATAGCAGTGAATTCTATTTATTGACACTAGTGTTGCACCAGGTCATTTTAGTATTATTTATATACTATTATAGTTTTTTAAATATATTTTGAATTAGGTTATATTTTTTATATTTTCAGTTTTCATTTTAATTCTAGTTAATTTTAGTAAATTAAATGTAACTTTTTGCTTTTTAAATTATTTTTAGATTTAATTTATTGAATTAATTTTTATTTTATATTTAGTGTTAATTATATTTGAGTTTTAGTTTTTATTTTCATTTAGTAATTTTAGTGCTTCAACTTTCTATTTCTATTCAACTTTCTATTTATTTGTTTATACAACGGGGTAAACTGCTGCTGGCTTGATGACGCAAACGAACCACGGTTCGGACCCAAATAATATAATGTGAACACAGTCCAGCTGGGGGAGGGGGGAGCAATCGAACTCGGGTTCGGACCAAGCAATCGAACCAAGTGTGAAAGCACCCTTAGTTAAAAACGGAAACTGAAAATAAAGTTTTGGTAGTTAAATTTGGGCAACTGGGTAACTCTTTATGCTGTTTAGCATGTTTTATTCTTATGTGATTAATTACATTAGGCGAAGTAAAGTTGTTCGGAAAGGAGCCGCTTCTCAATATTTCAGCCAAACAAATTTAAATTTTTGGAAATGGCGAAGTGCGTCCACACTGCTGACATGTTTACCTGTCATAGCTTATCTGTGTAAACAGACATTGACTTAATCAAAACCTGTTATCAAAGAAGTGCTAATTAAATGTCACTGTTTTGGTCAATGATTTTGGTTTTTCATTTTGCTGTTTTGGTCCATTATTTTCTGTTGCTGCAATTTCAGTGCATCACTTATTGCCACTAGAGACAGAAATGACACACTAGACTAATTTGAGATAAAGAGTTTCAGGAGGAAGTATTTAGATGCGGTTGATTTTCTAAAATAGTTTGGCAAGCATTATTTTGCACAAATTTTTATTATGATTTTTATTTTGCTTTTGACTTGGCCCAGTACCCACTGCAGCATTACTTTCATTGGTTAGCAAAACTCATATTTTCCTCAGAAGGTGTAAAAATCTATATTTACATATTAATCGAATAGAACCAGAGTTCTGTTTGCTCTCGCGCTGCTCTTTGCTGTCTCATCAGACTGTCATTGGCTCAGATGGGAAGTCAGATATCACACCGGCATGGTTCACTCCCAGAGGTCTGATAAGTCAGGAATCCCCCCGGCAGCAGTCGGCATACCACACTAATGTGGACCATGTGCTGGAGCATGAGAGGGGCCCGCGCTCTGACATACAGCCCTCCCCGACAGCCCACGGTCCAGGGGTGCCAGATTGAGGCTAAACCACCCGTTTAATTGTGTTAGGAGAAGAGCCATAGTCTCTTTACTCCAAACACGAGCATGTGTGGGAATTATCGTGGATTGATTCTGACACTTTGTTTTATTCGGTTGCTTTTTGTAAAGGTTTTTGTTAACTCAATGACCTCTGTAGACATTTGCTATAGTCATAAGCAGATAGATAGATAGATAGATAGATAGATATTTAGATGGACGGACGGACGTACAGACAGATGGATAGATGGATAGACAAATGGGTAGGTAGTTGTGTAAATGGATAGTTGGATAGATGGGTAGATACGTAGATAGTTTGGCAGATGAATAGTTGGGTAGATAGATAGTTAGGTAAATAGTTGGATCGATATTCGGGTAGATAGATAGATGGGTGGGTAGTTGGGCAGATGGATAGTCAGGTAGATAGATAGTTGGATAGATAGGTAGATATTTCTGTAGGTAGATAGATGGATAGTAGATAGGTAGATAGTTTGGTAGATGGATAGTTGGATGGATAGTTGGGTAGATGGAAGATGGGTAGGTAGTTGGGTGGGTAGTTGGACAGATAGAAGGTTGAATAGTTGGGCAGATAGTTTGGTAGATGGATAGTTGGGTAGACAGGTAAATAGTTGGATGGATAGAGGGGTAGATAGTTAGGTGGGTAGTTGGGCAGATGGATAGTTGGGTAGATAAATAGTTGGATAGATAGGTAGATAGTTGTGTAGGTAGGTAGATATTTGTGTAGATATACAGATAGATAGTTTAGTAGATGGATAGTTGGGTAGATAGCTGGATGGATAGTCGGGTAGATGGATAGTTGAGTAGATAGTTGGGGAGATAGTTGGATGGGTAGTCGGGTAGATGGATAGATGGGTAGATAGTTGGGGAGATAGTTGGATGGATAGTCGGGTAGATGGATAGATGGGTAGATAGTTGGGGAGATAGTTGGATGGATAGTCGGGTAGATGGATAGATGGGTAGATAGTTGGATGGATAGTTGGGGAGATAGTTAGATGGATAGTTGGGGAGATAGTTGGATGGATAGTTGGGGAGATAGTTAGATAGATAGTTGGGGAGATAGTTGGATGGATAGTCGGGTAGATGGATAGATGGTAGGTAGTTGGGTGGGTAGTTGGACAGATAAAAGGTTGAATGGATGGATAGTTGGGTAGATAGTTTGGTAAATGGATAGTTGAGTAGACAGGTAAATAGTTGAATGGATAGATGGGTAGGTAGTTGGGCGGGTAGTTGGACAGATAGAAGGTTGAATGGATGGATAGTTGGGTAGATAGTTTGGTAAATGGATAGTTGGGTAGACAGCAAGCCTCTACATTGTGAGTAAATTACTTGCATATGCGACTAAATCTTCACTCAGGGCGACTAAATGACATCTAATATTAGCCAATTGCTAATAAATTCTCATATTTTACTCGCCAGTGTGTGAGTTGGAGGCTAAGTATAAGTTTAGCTCAGATATATTTTCACTCGCCAAACACTCTCTGACTGAGCGCTTCAGAGTTTCACTCTCCATCAAGTGATCTGTGCTTTCACACACACGCAGCGAGAGAGGGAGAG